CTTCATCTCGGACAGCGCTGTACAACCAGGAGGTAGTGGGCTGCGAGGGCACTGACAGCTTCTGGAGTTCTTCGCGGATAACTGAACGTATGAGCTCTCGGAAGAAATCCATTTGGCCACTAAAAGCTCCTAAGTAGTCCGTAGTTGAAGCGTTGACGTGCCGTTCGTATGACGGGGCCCGGTGCCTAAGAGTGCTTTCGATGGTGACGGCTTCCATGAGAAATTCTGACAGTCTTGGGTGGACTGCACACAAGACCACCGAAAAGCTGCTCTTTCACCCCGCGCATGAGGTACCGTACCTTCTTTTCTTCTGGCACGCCGGTTTCAGCTCGGTGGAAAAGACGCGTCATGTCCTCGACATACATCGCAACCCCTTCATTCAGCATTTGTATGCGGGACTGCAGGTCGCGCATCAGCTCTCTCCCGACGGTTAGGGCTGGCATATGTCTCAAGACGTTGGCGTTTGAAGTCTTCCCATGATGTAAGAATACCTGCCCGGTTCTCATACCACACACGTGCACCGTCCAAAAGACTGAAATAGACGTGCCGCAGTTTGTCTGCGTCGTCCCGCTGGTTGTGCACAGCAACGAACTCGTAATGAACAAGCCAATCTTCTACATCCTCAAGTGCAGTGCCATGAAAAGGATTTGGCGTTCGCGGTGTGAGTAAGGTGCAATGAAGCGGCATTGTGCCGTTCACACCAATTGGGTTGGTGTCGGTAGGGCTGGTCGGAGCTGCCATATTGTTTGCGAGCAGTCCAAACTCAGGGGATTGCCCTCGGATTCTTCTGCTGACACGGTGCACAGGAGTGACCACCGGTACGACGCTTGAAATCTTGCTATGTGAAGGGGTACGGTGCATAGATCACCCAGCACGTCCACCAGTTTGTCACGCACCAAGAGCCGTACAGACAAGACAGGAACAGCTGGGCACAAAGACACGAGCGTGTATCTTCAAACAAAGCGCAAGGACACACTTCTTCTTCGTTCTCTTTTCCATTTTCGGCTGGCTACGGCTTGCCGGCTCACAAATCTAGGTGGCAATATTATATTGTACTCTCATCATCTTTCTCTGTCTGTCTGTCTGTCTGTCTGTCTGTCTGTCCATCCTTCCGGCCATCCGCCCGTCCATCCGTCCGTCCGTCTGTCCACATCTGCTGAGTGACTGATAAATTTAGGTGGTCACGTGAAGACGTAGATATGCTATAATGCAGCACAGAGTGTTTCGAGTGGGGAGATGATAGAAAGCTGCCTTGTAAACAATGCTTTAGACATTGCAGACTCCCTGCCATTTGTTTTAGAGCGTCATAAGAAATGAGTGTCGATCACGCAATACTTGTGTTAAACAGCAGGTCAAGTAACTACGAAGTATACTCGTGCAGGCCTGTAGCCGAAGTACTAGAAAAGGGCAAGTACCTGCTGTCTGTATATGTGCTTCAGCTTTACTGTCCAAGGCTTCTTTTTTTTATTGCCGCGGAGATAAGCTCGGCGTTTTATAAATCGGAATTGATCAAAACGCGATATTTACAGATAGTGTTAAATTAATGTACTGTGACATTTATGAAAACTCCCGTGGGAATGAGAATTCATAATTGAACGTGACACGAGGTAATTGTGTTAATGATTGCAGCTCAAGGCTGTAAAGTATACTGTGGTGTATATGTACCTTTAGGAATATCTAAATACGTGAATAGGTGTGCCTATTTATTCACAAACGTTGTAGACTGACTGGTAGAGGAATTTGTAGAAAACTGCAATCGCACGTTGAAAGGCACAGTTGAGCAGGACCTCACTTATGATTGCTCCATAAAAATATCTTACAATGGTAGAGTCATCGATCGAGTCAGGTATTAAAAGGTGCGCATTAGCAGCCACAATTTCTGCTTATAAGAGCCGTCGGTAATTGCGACTATAGTACTTGTGTTTTGCTTGAGAGCAATATCGGCATTACTTCGTGACACACTGCACAATATTCTAATAAAGCAATACTAGTTGGACGTTAATGAAGTTGATTTTCTGGTATTATTGCATGTGCAAAGTAGTCATCACAGTTTCCATAACAGTGTAAATATTTCTTTCAGATGGTTCCGTACACACGAGATCCATGAAATCACGAGTGTCTGCCGCCTTTCCAAGGAAGCGATCAAGATGATTCACGGCCCCTGCACATTGAAGCTGCAAAGTTTCTAATAAATTAGGTCCAGTTTCAATGCCAGGTTTCTTCGTATCTATGCACCGCAGGGGTTCATTTGCAATTGGAAATAATTGGGACCATTTGAAGTGGTTTATGGTCAAATTTCCCGTGAGGACCAGTTGGCAACGAGTCCTAGTTGGAACCCACTGGCACACGGCTGCAGCGGCTGCATTTCCGATGGAGGCGGAAATGTTGTAGGCCCGTGTGCTCAGATTTGGGTGCACGTTAAAGAACCCCAGGTGGTCAAAATTTCCGAAGCCCTCCACTACGGCGTCTCTCATAATCATATGGTGATTGGGACGTTAAACCCCACATATCAATCAATCGAACCCACTGGCAACTGGTCTCCTCTGGGATTTGACCATAACGGGCACCTGAACTGGTCCCAGTTGTTCCCAGTTAGAATATTTTCACCTGGGGATATCCACAAAATATCAGGGCTACCCGGGGCGGCGAGGAGCAGACCTGAGACGGGTTCCTCACGAGTGGCGCCCCTTGTCACGCTCCCGCGCGGATGCGGCTTTGGCACGAACAGCCGTACGGCAAATCGCATCCAAATTCACACCATGTGTCCACCACTAAAGTGATGCCATCGAAACGTCGAGCCCCCCGGCCGGGACAGTTGCCAGCCGACAAAGCAGACTGTCGAAGAAGCGACGTCTCAGATTGTTGGGTATATACAGTATCTTGTATCAATGTTCACCATGTGCAATGATTATCATATGTTACTAACACTACGTGTTCAGCGGTGACAGCCTGGCGAAATGTTCAATTGTTCGTGAATGACACCTACTACAATTCACAGCTGAAAAAGCTTTCACAGCAATATCTGTAGGCAGTAACTTTTTTGGTAAAGTTGCACTTTTTTGGCGTTTCCATATTCCATCGCATTGGCGAACAAGCTGGTCGAGACGATCGACGCTCCCCTCATAGTCAGGCACCTAGTTTCTCAAGCGTAGTTACCTGTACTGCTTGCATGTGCACAAGATCAGGTATGAATAAATTGACTAATGTGAAGTAAACGCTTCGAGGAACACTTGAAATTATCAGCAACACATTTTATACAAGTTCTATAGGTAGAATAGTGGGGCACTTTTTCTTGTGTACATAACGTTACTGGCATCATTTTCTCCAACTGGTGCGAGGTCGTCGTCTTCTTCACCACTGCTGATTGTGTATACATGGCTGCAGTTGATGTTCTTGACCAATGTTGTGTCAATGGATTCTGCGGTGTCACCACTGGCCCGATGTCACAAAAACTTGCGCGTACACACAACACCGCCTAGTGACGCTGCTAATTGATTGATTGCTTTGTGCGTTTTAACGTCACAAAACCACCGTATATGTTTATGAGAGACGCTGTAGTGGAGAGCTCCGGAAATTTCAACTTCCTGGGGTTCTTTAACGAGCTCCCAAATTTCAGCACACGGGTCTATATTATTTTCGCCTCCATTGAAATCCCGTTGGATCCGGGATTCGATCCCGCGACCTGCGCGTAAGCAGTCGACTACCTTACCAGTAAGACCACCACGACGGGGCGCTGCTAATACTATGTCGTGACGTCAGGGTACAGTGGGCACCAAATCTAGCTTTTAAAATCATTCTGTAATTAACTTTTCACGGCTCACTCACACTTACCGGCACAATTGCTAGGCTCTCGGGTACTTGGCCTATCATTTGACGCAAAAAAAAAACGATGAGTGAAAAATTTTGCGTCAGTACCTTTTTAAAGGCTAATTATTTCCTGCGCATACCTGTGTCCAGTACCTCTCAGCTCTGTGAGGCTATGGTAATCGCAAAAGTCCCTCGACCGGTTCAAACAAGCCTGGATGCGATTATTAGAGCTCGGACATTACACTAATTTTTTTACCTTATTTTACTTGAAAACATGATTTCTCTTGTAAATAAAAATACAACCCATATTAAAAACACAGAAGGACAACCATGGTCTTTGCCCTACCCCTTTGCGACTTTTTTGGATTGACGCCATTGCAAACAGTGTCTGTTAAAAAAGAACAGTACATGCTGTCAAACAAGCATGCGTATGTGCGCAAGCTTGAGCGACACACCCCTGTTATGGTGCCACGTTTTTTGTCGCATTCAATAAACCACTTTGCACTCGTTGCGTCCTGCCGTACTGTTTCCTTCTTTCTTTCCATGCTTGTGTCCACAAAGCGCGGTTTTAAAGATGAATCATCACCAGCTAGCCCACCTTGTAGCATTTCTCATAGCTTGCCGTACTGCGTTTTTGTATGTGCTTTTCATAACAACGTTACCTGTTTTCTCCCTCTGTAGTTGCACGTGTTCCCCTCGTGTTAAATCCGGTACACGGCTGCAGCATAGAGGACACGTGCCACACACACATAAAGCAGAATAGATTTTGCCCGGGCAGTTCGAAGATATTACGAGTCGGGAGTCTGTTATCAGATATGGGCTCATGCAGCCACCGCAGGTGATTCTCGTTCACAAGATTTCCTTGAAATAAGTCCTGAGCTGCTGCAGCCACTGCGACCTTGTATAAGCCATGTAGCAATGCATCAGCGTTGTCGTGGAGTGGATTTCAAAAGTAACCATACCTCAAGGTAAATTTAGCCAGGTTATTCAGCTTCATCACCACATTCATAGCCAAGTTGAATAAAAGGTATTATAAGTACAGTTTCTACTATTGAACAAAAGATATTACTGTTTCCAATAAGCAATTCCATAGAGATAAAACCGGTTTTTCCCTTTTGTTTCGTGATATCAATCTAGCGAATTCGCCGCAAAGTATATCTACCAGTGGCAAGCACGCAACCTCGAGTACGCACGTGGTAGTTTGCTCCGTCCACGAGCCAGTTGAAGTGAGACCAGCCGAACTGGTCGTTGCGCACCACGGCGTAACGAACCAGAAATGAGGTCCACGGCGGAAGGCCTCGTTGTCGAAGATGACAGCTCAGCACCTCAGACGCCAGAGGTCGGCCATCCAGGCGGCGGCGGCCCTAGAGCCAGGCTCATTCGCGTTAGAGGACCCCACCCCATGACCTGCAGCGAAGGCATCGCCAGAAGCGGCGTTAAGGTATCGCCTACGACCCTCGTAAAAAAACCAACATTTTCTGCAAAGTCGCTTGCAATAATTTACTTTTTTCTGAACCATGCATAATAAAGCAGAGAAGCTTACGTGACCGATCAATAAGACGGGATAAGAGGATAAAAGGAAATACAGGATGACGACGTGGAATTGCTGCCCCTAATGCCTAAGGCTCTCTTGTCTACATCCCACTACTGTCATCCCTAGTGGATACGCGAGCAAAACATGCTACGGAGAAAGAGAGGCAAAGGTAAGACAGGGAGGTTAACCAGGTTGTAAACGGTTCGCTACCCTACGCGGAGGAAAAGGAAAAAAACAGAGAAAGAGGGAGCAAAAAGAGAACAAGTGATACACGAAACTACATATCAACATTCCTCGCACACACGCAGACAGTCACAACCAATAAGCGTTCGAGACCAGTTCCTCCACGGTTGTCTAAAAGTAGATGCGAATTAAAGATGTTGAAGAATAACTTGCAAAGACTGGTTAAAAGGACTGCAGAACTTACAGCACGTATTGAGCTGATAGAGTTGCCATTGCGTTCAGGAAAGTGCGCATCGTGGTCACGATTGAGAGACCTCAACAGAGAGAGCACTTGTCTGTTTTCGTTGGAAAGTCATGTGGCTAGCGGCCTCCTTCTACTTGCATCACCATGCAGTGTCATTTGTTTCTTTGGCGCTATGGACTCCACGAAGTATAATTCCAAAAAGAAATTGTGCAGTCGAACCCGCATAAGCAACAACAACGAAGGTAAAAGAGCATTGGTTCAATACATTGAATAATTTGGTAAAAACGTGTAGCGAAATTGACGGCCCTATTTTCAATGCACATTTATGTGCACAAGTTGGCTTTGCGGCATAGCTTGACGATAATGCCAGAAAACCAGACGCACGACAGTACGCAATTTCCGTCGGTCGGTCGGTTACCGTTTGAGTAACCACAGAAAGTGCAAAAACGAAAGAAGGAGGGACAGTTATTGTTATAATTCAAGGGGAAGCGCTTCACTGTTCGAAGCGAGGTCGGATTGCGTTATAACGTGAGGTCATGAAGCGAGATTCAATAAAAGAAAGAACAATGTACATGCTATTGGGGAGCTAAGGGAAAGATGGAACATGTAGGCTTGTACCCACCCACGTATACGTGTGGGTACAAGCCTACATGAGGCCTTGGGTTATTTTAGGGACAACCATGGAGAGCTGAACACGTCCGCGATAGAAGCAAGTAAGGGACGATTAGAGTATTGGTGGCAGAAAAGTAGAGATAAAGGAGAGAAATAGTGCGGGAAAATTAGGTAATTTTGCCTGAAAAGGCACAAAAATGGACCGTGAATTCATATTTTTTTGTTATAGTGAGATTGATTTATTCGGAATATAGAAAAGGCATTAGGCCAACATGAAAAGAACATTTCTTTTCTTCTTTCGAGCCTGGTGGCACACATGTGACCACCCCATAATAAAGGGGACGATCATAGCACTCACCCACCCCCCATTCATAATGCACTGTACATACTAAATTAGAGCTCTTGTTCTTTCATTCGGCACCCAGTTGCGTGTCTTTTGTCTGATTCGGGACCACCGTTCCAGCGCGCACCCGGCGTTCCTTCGACGTGGCATCTTTGGCGCCCACGTCGATACCACGTTGGTGACGAAGTGAATCGTGCCAAATGGCGAGCTACGCCTGATTGACACCGCTCACCTTTGCGCTACTCTTGCATCTTCTCATTTTGGCTGACAAGCTGTGGACCAGTACACGTGTTTTGCAGACGCTACCCTTCGACGTCTCCGGTACTACGTCCCCTCTTTGTCCCGCTGGCAGCATGAACGCCGTCATCCCACCACCTCCTTTTCCGCGAAATCCCAGCGTCTCCAATTACTTGGAAAAAACAGCGCCGCCTTTCGCAAGTGTACATCAACGCGCCGGCCTCGGATGCCATGTCGGAGAGGAAGAACGTACTTGTGCTCTATGAACTCGGTATGAAGGAATCGGACGCGTACAAGGCTGCTGATGAGCGGACATACCTCACCACCAACCAGGAAACCGTAGCCGCCGCTGCAAGCGACACGTAGCAGATGACCTTGGCCGTACTGGACGCATACCTCGATCCACCCAAAGATGCCTTCTGCGTCCGTGCCCAGTTCCGGCGCAGGGTGCAACAAACCGGCGAAACTGCTGTTCAGTACATACAGCAGCTGCTAAATTTGGACGACACTTGCACTTACCCCATCGCAGGCACTCCGATGCCCAAGACCGAATATGCTAAAAGGACTACGAGACTCTCACTTAGTATGGGCATTCATCATTCATCTGTGCTAGCCCCGACTGCACTAGCTCATGGGTTGTGCAGTGGGACTGCATCTGTAGCTCCAAGTGATACGCCCCATCAGTACCTGGTACCTGACCACCATGTACCCGTTGTTATGTGATTGTGCGCGTTTAAAAAGTGCGCCACTCCATCGGCCAGAAAAAGATGAAGATAACGCTCGGCTGCGGCACGTGTGGGCGTGAAAATTTTGGTCCAATGAGGTCCCACCACCGAGATTTCAAGGCCCAATCGCTGGGTACCACGAAAGTAGAGAATCTCCAATCGGGACGAGACAACTGGGCCAGAGCGGAAACAGAAGCCTGAGCAGAGCAGATCAAGGGGAGTTCGAAGAAAACGGGGCAAGCGGAAGGTCGTTACCGGACCGGGCGCTGAAGATGGGCCATCAGGCGTCGGACCCGAGCCTGCAGGACTTCAACGGGCCGGGGCCTCCTGCCGTCGTGTTCCAGCTCGAGAGGACCGTGGCCATCCGGTCCTGAACTCCTACCCAGGGCCTGCGGACTTTGGTTCCAACAGGCGAGCAACAGCCGTCGGGCTACGGGCCCGAGCTGTGCGCCCAGCTGCTTGGCCAGGTTGACCCTGGTTCCCTGACGCGTCGCCACCAGCCTGTGTTCTCTCGTCACCGACGGGTCCACACTCCTAAAGCCAGAGCCACCACGTTCCGGTCTGGTTTCTTGACGTGTCGTCAGCAGCCAGCGTTCCTTCATCCCCGTCCTGCCCGCGTCCTGAAGCCGGAATCACCGCGTTCCGGTTTGCTCATTGTCGCCCGAATTCAGCGTGTGGGTGAGACCGAACAGATATCTTGCCCTACTCCACCGCTCAGCCCCATTCGGACGTTAGATTGAATTGAACACTTTGAACTTTTTGTTGAATGTTGATAGACGGATTTCACCGTGTCCAGTTAACTGTTTATTAGTTGTTTCGTTTTATGTGGGATTTTCGTTTTTTTTTACTTTTCCATTAAACTTCTTGTTTGAGTTTTCGTACAAACGGCTTTGTCCTTTCGTTGAGTCTCTCGTAGGTTTAAACCTTAGACAGCTCTTCTTACTAAACATCTAAAAGAACCTTGCATGACACCCGTTTCGACAAGTCGCTTCAGAGGCCAGCAGAAAAGGCCTCCTTCCGAAGAGGGGGAGAATTCAGCAACCAGTTGTGCTTTCTGCTCTACCGGACTGTCGCGGGATATCGCAGTTCCGACAGATTTCGTGGAAGTAGCACCGTTACAGGCATCGGCGCCGTAGACATGTGACAGTGTCTATGCGGACATCCTCTCTCAAGGGAAGGGATGATATAGTGCAGTGGTTTCAGTCCCGTTTGTAAACCGTTTCTCTTGCCCCAGGTCACGCACTTTATTTGTATATAAGAATTTAAAATTTCATTATTTGTCAATATAGTGTTATTTCATGCACTATTCTTTTTGTAATGGCATTTATACAACTTGTTCTGCCTATTGCACTGTATTTGCCTCGCTTTTGAAAGTGAAATCATGTATTCTGTATTACTGCAAACATTCTATTTTTTTCTAGCATTGCATAATAATGAGTATGACGTTATTGTTGCTTTCGTCCCCCCACCCTTATGTAATACCCAGAAAAGGGCCTTTGGGGGGTAAAAAATGATGATGATGATGATGATGATGATGATGATGATGATGTGGATGATGCACTATACTAATTAAATTAGAGTTCTTGGTCCTTCGTTCTGCGCCCGACTGCGTGCCTTTCGTCTAAGTCAAGGCTGCCGTTCTGGCGTGCAGCCGGCGTCCCTTCAATGTGGCGTCGTAGGTGCCCACGTCGATACCCAAGAAATTGTGCTGCGTCTACTTCGATCATGACTCCGGGCCAGCTGCTCACACTGACTCAGCCACGATATTCCGGTAACTTCTGCGGTACATACAACGTTTACGTCGACGACTGGATTGCAAAACATGAGCGTTTTGCAGCAGGTTATCGTTGGGACCCAACAATGATGCTCGCCAACTAACGTAGGCTTCTATCGCTGCGGGTGTGGTTTAAGGCTTATGAGGCAGCTATAACAAGTTGGGATTGATTCCTGTAAGGAAAAGCTCCGTGACCTCTTCGGCAGACTGACCAGGCGCCAAGGAGCTTCGGATAGTAACTCCAGTCGGGCTAAAACTTCGACTGAATCCTGTGTGTCGTACATATTTGATGTTCTCGTACTTTGCCATCGTGTCGCCACCAACATGAGCAAACAAGACCATGTTAACCATGTGCTCAAGGGCATTGCAGATGATTCCTTCAATCAGCTGGTGTCCAAAAACCTCTCGAGCGTGGACGACTTCATTAAAGAGTACCGGCGCTTTGGTGAAATGAAGAGTCGCCGAATCGCCAACATTTGATGCGGCTTCTATGTACTGCAGCTACATCATCCGGCAAGTACCTTCAATCAACAAACGCTCCGATGTCCAGTCCGCACCATGCATCGCGAAGCCCCGCCGCGGTGGTCTAGTGGCTAAGGTACCCGGATGCTGATCCCCAGGTCGCGGGATCGAATCCCGGCTGCAGCGGCTGCATTTCTGATGGAGGCGGAAATGTTGTAGGCCCGTGTGCTCATATTTGGGTGCACGTAAAAAAACCCCAGGGGTCGAAATTTCCGGAGCCCTCCACTACGGCGTCTCTCATAATCATATGGTGGTTTTGAGACGTTAAACCCCACATATTAATCAATCAATCATTTATCGCGAAATTGATGCGGCGTCTTCACCTCCTTTCCTGCGCGGCCCGTCTCATGATCTTCGAACAACGTTCTCGCTGAATCAGAAGGTTGTGCTGGAAGATGTAGCAAAAATTAAACTAAAGCCTCTATGTTCGTTCATGCAACCTCATGGCGTGACGCCACCTTAGCGTGCACCAGGAACGTACTGCGGCTACCATGACCCTTCCCAGTGCAGAACACGGGACGAAGGCCGATCTGCTTTCGTTGCCAAGGTGTTTTGTCGCTATTTATCGCTATTGATATTTATCGCTATTGTCGATCTCACGCATCGCCCTCCCGCTCGTTTTCTGGCTATCAAAGCGACGACAACCGGCCCCTGCCGTTTGATTTTAGTGACAATGGACCGTCTGACGCTTTAGTCGTCCACCGTCCTCCACGAACATCGCTCCCGATCATCTCAGTCCCGCCGCTATGCGTTGCATCGACCTACCAGACGGCTATACTCGAAAAACTGAGCAGTTCCGCTTCCGGAGGTGACGCTGCAATGGACCACCGACCTCAAATCTCGTGCTCACCCTGACTGCGGACCAGAACCTGCTTGCTGTGAAAGTGGATGGCCTGCCTGTTACTGTCCTCACTGAAATAAGTCCACATATTTCCATTATGAGCTCTGATCTCCGTGCCCGGTTAAGTAAGGTCCTTACGCAGCCTGAGTCCCTATTTCTACGTGTCGCTATAATGGAAGAATACCGGCTCTGCACGGAATGTGCACCACACTTACGCTTGAGTGGTCAACGACCACCAAACTTCCGTTATGTTTCGTGTTCTACCTGACTGTCCTCATCACGTCATTCTCCTAATTGATTTTTCGTCTGACCACTCCGTTGTCATAAACTGCTCAGCCGGTGTCATACTCGACTTACCTGTGTCCGTCGACGTGTCAGAGCCTATTCGGAACAAGCTTTCGTGTACTTTTTTCAGCTGCCACCGCATTGATAATGATTGATTGATATATGGGGTTTAACGTCCCGAAACCACTATATGATTATGAGAGACGCCGTAGTGGAGGGCTCCGGAAATTTAGACCACCTGGGCTTCTTTAACGTGCACCCAAATCTGAGCACACGGGCCTACGAAATTTCCGCCTCCGAGCTGCCACCGCAGGCACTAACCATTGAGGTTGCTGCTGAACGGCGCTAGAGTGTGCCGGATGGTGAATATGGAGTCACACCATCTGCGGAGGTTTTAGTAGCGCGGCACCTGTCTTCTCCATACACAGTTGTAACTATAACGGCTAACAAAACGTGCCTTCTTCATTTGAACTTCTGGCTTAACCCTCAAATGTTACCTCAACGCATGGCTCTCGGCACTTTGTCGCCATCTCAAGAACGCCAAATCTTGTCGGTGCCACACCACATGTCCGTTTTTGTTTCTTCAAGCCCACATAACCACGATGCAGCCAGCTCTTCAGCACTGCACAACAACGTAACGAAGATGATGGACTCAGACCTTTTTTGACCTCTCAAGCGAAGGCCTCGGTGATCTTCTTATGACCTAGTCGGACATATTTTATTTCGACGGTAGGCCCTTAGGCCAAATCTCAGAAGTCAAGCACCGCATAAATACTGGTGATGCAGCTCCGATCCATAGGCGTCTTTTCCAAGTGTCAGCATCAGAGCACCATGTTATCCATCAGGAGGTCGACAAAACGCTCACAAAGGGCATT